TTGTTATATCTGTGGAGAAATGGTATGAGTTAATGAAGTAATCAAAATGTCTTCAAATGATATTGTTGCATTTGCAGAGAAGTGGCATGAAGTAATCAAAATGTCTTCTAGTGATATTGTTATATCTGTAGAGAAATGGTATGAGTTAATGAATTAATCAAAACATCATCTAGCGATATTGTTATAACTGTAGAGAAATGATGTAAGTTAATAAAGTATTGAAAATGCCTTCTAGTGATATTGTTTTATCTGTAGAGAAATGGTATGAGTTAACGAAATAATCAAAATGCCTTCTAATAATATTGTTGCATTTGCAGAGAAATGGCATGAAATTATCAAAATGTCTTGTAATGATGTTGTTATGTCTGTAGAGAAATGGTATGAATTAATGAATTAATCAAAATATCTTCTATTGATATTGTTAAAATGTTAGAATAATGATGTGAGTTAATGAATTAATCAAATTGTCTTCTATTGATATTGTTATATCTGTAGAGAAATGATGTGAGTTAATAAAGTAATCAAAATGCCTTCTAGTGATATTGTTATATCTATAGGGAAATGATGTGAGTTAATGAAGTAATCAAAATGTCTTCAAATGATATTGTTGCATTTGCAGAGAAGTGGCATAAAAAAATCGAAAAATTAATCAGAATATCTTCCAGTGATATTGTTATATCTGCAGAGAAATGGCATGAGTTAATGAATTAATCAAAATATCTTCTATTGATATTGTTAAATCTGCAGGGAAATGGTATGAGTTAATGAATTAATCAAAATGTCTGCTAATTATATTGTTATATCTGCAGAGAGATGATGTGAGTTAATGAAGTAATCAAAATGTCTTCAAATGATATTGTTGCATTTGCAGAGAAGTGGCATGAAGTAATCAAAATGCCTTCAAGTGACATTATTATATCTGTGGAGATATGGTATGAGTTATTGAAGTAATCAAAATGTCTTCTAGTGATATTGTTATATCTATAGGGAAATGATGTGAGTTAATGAATTAATCAAAATGTCTTCAAATGATATTGTTATAATGGTAGAAAAATGATGTGAGTTAATAAATTAATCAAAATGTCTTCTATTGATATTGTTATATCTGCAGAGAAATGGTATGAGTTAATGAAGTAATCAAAATGTCTTCAAATGATATTGTTGCATTTGCAGAGAAGTGGCATGAAATAATCGAAATGCCTTCTAGTGATATTGTTATATCTGTAGAGAAATGGTATGAGTTAATGAATTAATCAAAATATCTTCTAATGATCTTGTTAAAATGGTAGAATAATGATGTGAGTTAATGAATTAATCAAATTGTCTTCTATTGATATTGTTATATCTGTAGAGAAATGATGTGAGTTAATGAAGTAATCAAAATGCCTTCTAATGATATTGTTGTATTTGCAGAGAAGTGGCATAAAAAAATCGAAAAATTAATCAGAATATCTTCCAGTGATATTGTTATATCTGCAGAGAAATGGCATGAGTCAATGAATTAATCAAAATATCTTCTATTGATGTTGTTAAATCTGCAGAGAAATGGTATGAGTTAATGAATTAATCAAAATGTCTGCTAATTATATTGTTATATCTGTAGGGAAATGATGTGAGTTAATGAATTAATCAAAATGTCTTCAAATGATATTGTTGCATTTGCAGAGAAGTGGCATGAAGTAATCAAAATGTCTTCTAGTGATACGTCCTCTAGTGATATTGTTATATCTGTTATTATATCCCTATCTGTAGATGACATTTTGTCTACTGCAAGCGATGCCAAGTTTACCAGAAACACGAGTAAAGCGATCCAGAACCTTCGAATAAGTTGGCCTAGATTAGATGGGTCCTCTTTCAGTCTAATCTAATACTAGTCTAGTCAAAAGATGGATAGCATTTTTTACGTGCTTCACTACCACAGCAATGCATCTAGAAATGGCGGAGAATTTATCTGCCCAGAATTTTTTACATATTTTAAGAAGATTTATGGCTCGACGTGGATATCCAAAATTAATATTAAGCGATAATGCAAGCCAATTTCAACTGCTATTCAAAATCATTATGAAAGAAAACGCTAACTTTTTGGCGACAAAGGGTATGATATGGAAAAATACTATACCAAGAGCACCATGGGGTGGTGGTGTATATGAAAGACTTATAGGACTCACAAAAAGGGCATTAAGAAGAGCAATAGGAAGAAAACATCTAAAGGAAGGAGAATTAATAACATTAATAGTTGAAATAGAAGGAATCCTTAATACCCGTCCATTAACTTATGTAGGGTTTGACGACTACAGAATCATTCGTCCAATTAATTTTATATCAACTATGGTTTCATTAGATCTACCAATAAATTATGATAGTGATCAAGATGAATAAACCCCTTATACAATAAAGACTAAAGATACACTAGTCAAGTATTGCACTTCCACTCTTACCACATTAGATGTCTTTTGGAAGTTGTGGAAAGAAGAATATCTTACAAGTCTTAGAGAACGCACACAGAGAGAATTAAAATCACCTAGAATAGTAGAAAAAAGAGTACCACATGAAAATGAGATAGTATTACTAAATGAACCAGAAATACCTCGTGGTGTATGGAAATTGGCAAGGATAATAAAAATTAATCGAGGATGGGATGGAAAAATAAGGAGTGCAACAATACAATTACCGAATGGAAAACAAATCGATCGATCAATAAATATGCTTTATCCTATGGAAATAGATGCTACTGAAGATAAAGAAGAAAAAGTGGAAGATGAACCAGAAGAACCCATTGCTCGACGAACCAGAAGTGCTAAAAAATCACAAACTACAATCTACGCTAAGGACAAGTCTAATCTTTTGATAAAAACTTTATCATTAATAACGATGATGTCATTAATACCAAGACAGGTATTAGCTAACAATAGCTGTAATTGGATTACTGGAGTACCCTTTAATATTCCTGAAAAATGGAATTGTGAAGAAATTATTCACAAAAATGCTACATATCACAAAGTGGATGTGTACACACGCACCCATGTAAGAAACTAGCTATAAAATGTAGCAACATTACACGGACTGTATGTACAAAAGCTTTTCTCAGAATATCACTATCGGTAGTATCAGACCATACTTCTACTACCGCAGCTTCCTCACAATTCTGCAGATATTTATATGTTCGAAAACAAATGAACGGAATTGGACTGATTCAATCTTCTCCTAATCAATGAATAACGAATAAGGAAATACAATACTCCTATGGATGATTAGGAGTTAACTGTCAATCAACGTCAAACTTCATATTAACTCAAGGAGAAATTCTCCTCTACGATGGAAGAGGGTTAGTCTCTAACCTTAAAGATATAAAAGACTGTTCGACACAAAAGGGTGAATACAATACTAGCATTATCATATGGAATAGTAATGATACGACCAATCATTGTTTATATCGAAAGATCGGAAGATTCAAGGTTACAAAGTATAACCACCACTTCATCATCGATGAGATACAAGCATCGCTTATAATTGATATAAACCCCCCTGTATTAAATACCAAAAATTGTAGATTCACCTCTCCAATTTTAATGCAGGGCGATATAGTTATTGAACTAGTCGTTGAAGATGACTCGAACTCTACTACAAAATTCAAACGAAGAGTAACAAATAAACTATTGATGATGGAAAAGTCTCCGGATAGAAAGTACGATCCTGAAAACGTAAAACTTCAATACCTTTCTGATTCACTAAGACAAGAATTCCTTCAACAACTCAAAGAAACACAGCAGAGAAGTTGCCAAAACAGAAATAACTTATTACTTTTGATCAAATGGCTATCAATCAGCAATCCTACTCTTGCCACGAAACTAATACTTCAAAGAAACGATGTGATAGCTAAAAGAATTAACGGAAATTTGATGGTGGCTCCTTGCAAATCAGAACAATCAACAATCGAAAATATCGAATTCAAAGGAGATTTAATAAGTAAGTTTGAAATTGAGAGAATTAATGCAGGATTGGAAATCCTAACTCAAACCCAAAAAACAATTAATTCAATACCACATCAAATGAAGGATGAACTCTTTTGGCAAGAAATTTCTAAAGAAGGAGAAGAAATTATCGAACAAATGGAAAGGAAATTCAACGAAATTGCTCTACCGATGGAAGAAGAATTTGAAAATATGGTAACACATTGGAAATTGATTTTTACCTGTATAATTATTGTAACAATATTAACTATTTTTGTCATTCTAAAGTGGAAATTTAGATTAGTTCAATCAATCTTTTGTCATATAAATCAAGCTACCATCATTACTCTCTCTGTAGAATCACCACACACACAATTCCAAACTAAAGAAATCCCACCCATAAAACTCCATACATTTAACTACATACCTCAAAACCACTCTCTCAAAGTTACATCTTCCTCTTCCCCTTTTGGGAGTGTCGCAAATTATAACATCGCGAAAACTCCTATCTAAAAATAATCCCATAATATCATAAGTTATCTCTACATAAATCTAATTTCTTAAGACTTTTTACATGTGATTTTCATCATAGATACGTTCAGTTCTCACTTTGTAATTTCTCAATTTTTTTGACACTTCTGACTCTTCAGACATTGTAAAACAATCTTACAGTATCTTAAATTATCTCTCTTTAAATCTAGTTTTTTGGTTTATTACGCATGTAATCTCATATCATGAATTCTCAATTCTTATGAACATTTCCGATTCTTCACATTTTTATCTTAGACACGCCCAATTACCACTCATATAAAATTCAATCCTAAAAAATTACAATTATTATTTGTCTTTAAGATCGATTACTACTCGGTTAACCAATTCCAATTCCTCTGGTCTTCTTTTATAAATTTCTTCTCTTTTTATTGCTCGGTTTATCAAGATTACGTTTTCGAAAAATAAAGGTTTATTAATCTTCCTACTGTATTGCAACTATTCGAGTATCAACCAGACAACCTTTCACGACAAAATTTATTGGTGCCACGAGCCGGGAACATGTCAAGCCATATTATTGCGAGCCTTCAACCGGCAAAGGAAAGGTTAGTCAGTCTTCTTAAAGAAGTAAATCAACTGGAGATCAAATCTCCAGATCCAAGTATGACAATAGAAGAAAAAGAAGATTTTTATGTGATAAGAAAAAGAGTGTTAGAAGATAAACTTCGAAGAATCCAATTATGCGTAACTACGCTTGAATCTATCAACGATAAATGGTTCACATATACTCAACAAATCGTCACGATGAAAAGAAGAGAAGAAGAGGAAGAAAAATACAAAACAGTAACAGAAGGTGACCAAGGAATATTTCAATTATTACACAAAGGAAAGGAAGCTGTAATAACACTGACAATGCACAAGGATGAAGTCGACCAAAACTTAAAACAACTCTCAAAGGAGTTGAGAACAAACAAACAAAAAAAGAAGCAAAATTTACTCCTTCTTCAAATATTAATGTAATAACACTGACAATGCACAAGGATGAAGTCGACCAAAACTTAAAACAACTCTCAAAGGAGTTGAGAACAAACAAACAAAAAAAGAAGCAAAATTTACTCCTTCCTCCTCATTTATCGCTCCCTACTTTCGATGGAGACCCTAGACAATGGCGACAATTTTGGAGCAGTCTTAACGCAGCAGTCCACACACAAGCGATTCCAGAAATACAAAAATTGAATTACTTATACTCATGTCTCAAAGGAAAAGCTCTACAAGCAATATCTGGATATGATATAGCTCCAGAGAATTATGTAGTCATCAGAAAACTGCTCAATGAGAAATATGGCGATCACTCAATAATAACAACATTACTATACAACGAACTCCAATCAATTAAACGAAATGAAAGAGAATGGATTGGAACAATTGAAAATACAGAACGCCAGTTAGAAGCTCTAGGAGAAAGCCTCGAACATTCAAATATTGAAATCTTGATCGAGAGCAAGTTGCCATTATGGATATTAAATAAAATATATAAACACAAGAAGAAAGACATGCCTTGGTCAATTCTCAAACTAAGAAACTTTTTAACATGTTTAATTAATGTGAATGAACAAATTAGAAACTGTCAACATTCACTCACTCAACTCAATATTAAATCTACAACTACCAAACCGGAACAAAAACAACGATACAATTCCGGAGGAACTTCAGCACTGTCGACAATGAAAGATAATCAAAATACTTCAAAAACTACAACAACGAAAAGACGACCATGTGTATTCTGCAATCAAGATCATTGGGACAGCGATTGCGTGAACTACATGAATTGATCAAAATCTCTCTAGTGATATCACGATATTTGTATAGAAATGGTATGAATTAATCTATTATATCTGTGGAGAAATGGTATGAATTAATCAATGTCCTTAAATTAATCTTTAAATAACATTTCTCATGCTATTAATTGACGAAAACTACTGTAATGTTTTCTCCAGATTAAATAGAATATCCTTGGTTTCTGCTTCTGGAAAATTTAGTCCATCTGCAGTTATCGCCAAAAAAATCCTGAGCAAAAGTGACAAGACAAGGAGAAAAAGACGATCATTATCCTAATTGCATTGTGTTAATTTTTAAAAAAAAATGTTAATGCAAATTTTAAACTACATTCAAATCTTTAGTAATTATGCAAAACGCTGCATCAAAATAATCAATATAAACTAATCAAAGATTTGTTGGTCAATCATTTCTACTAATTTTAAAATACGAATTGGACTTTCATTCAAGTGAAATATGGCTCTTCAATCAGTTCCAAGAAAAAAGCCAAATGAAATGCTATCATCTCGTTTCATGTTTGATGCCAGAATAAACATTCCAGCACAGATGTTACGTCAAGAAGAATGCTGTGTATCATTTATTGTTGCCCATGGACCACGCTCAATAGAATTGTAAGTCTCGAAGTTTTAATTTTCTCTTCATTCACAAATAATGGTTGTTTATCATGCTAATATTCATCAACTTTCTACACAAATTTCTCAGGCTCGAAAATTCCTCATTTTAATATTAATTAGAATAGAAACTCCTTTCTTTTCAAAGAAACAAATAAATAAAATGTGAGCAATCTTCGTTCCAGGATGTTGTAAGTTCCAGATAATTGAACTGAATCATATTGTAAAATGAAATTTCACATAATTTGAAATATTTTGTTCGCTCTCAAGTTACATCTTAGAAATGTAAATATTTTCAGTGAATTTAAAATCAATGTAGCGGATTTTCGTCGAGAAAATCCAAAAATGTTAGTGAATTGTCGAAGTGAACTGCGTATGCAAATTTCTGGATTAATTACAATACGCTTCGGTGCTTCAAAAGATACTAATAATATTGTAGATGCAGAGAGTATGATTTGAAAATTTAATTCATTTAAATTTAACACTTTAGTTTATACATAAAGTATAGTCGAGTAAATGAAGCAAAATTTACAGCACTCCTACTGTAATGGTTTGCTCGATAAACAAGATTTGTTTCTTTGATGTTCAAGGATGACTTCTGTTTTTTACTATAAATTTATTTCATTCATTAATACTTTTATTAATGGTTTTAGACAAATCGCTTAAATGGAGTCTTCTCATTCTCTTCCTCAGGGCACCCAAGCATTATTTGTCATCTCATCTTGGAGTTAAAAACGAACATCAATTTCAAAATTTTCACAAATTCATTTTAAATTAGATGAATTCTGTATGAAAATGTCTTATTGACCTCAAAATGTAATACTTGCAAAAGCTATTCGAGATTAAAAGATGAACCAATTAAGTGATCAATAATATTTAATGGAATTAAGGTTTTAGAAAACATATTAAGGAAGCCTTGTTAGCTGAGTATATCTAATTTTTGCAGCAATACTGAACGAAACGCAGGAAACAGATTTCGAAAACATATTTGTCATGCGTGGTACTGATCCATTTTTGGAATCACTGCACAATATTATTATGTTAGCGGAATACGGAAATGGTTTAATCGGTTTCAGCATTCTTATTTTATATCAAGAAGCAGAATTCATGCAATTTGTTGCACAGAAAAGCAGACTTCGATTACTGACATATGCAGAACTTCAGAATAGTCGACTGAATTCAAAAGCTTACAAGTAGTTTTTTGATTAACCTAGTATGTTTAAATGTTGTCCGGACTGTTGAAATACATTTAGTGAATAAATATTTTGGCAATTAATTAATTCAAAAGCTTACAAGTATTAATTAAGTCTAATTATTATTTACAGAGATTTCGCAGTATTTGGTATAAATACATATTCTATAACGTGTTCAAAATGGATGCTTTATATGAGTACCAAATATTTTCACCGCTTAATCAATGAAAATCCAGCTGTTAATCATGCAACATTAAATTATCCCCATGATGTCATAGGCTATGTTAGTCAGAATTAGACGAATAGTTACTTAAAGGATTGTTTTCACTAGACATCTTAAGAAACTTGACATTTTAAGAAAAAAACACTAGAATATAGATTATGAAAGTTAATTAGAAAGATAGGTTAACTACTTAACAAACGTGTAGTATAAACTACATGAATCAGACAATTACTAATTTATTGAATTCTTTTGCAAACATTATTTCTTGATATCAATGTTTTTGAGATGGCTTTGTTCCAGGCTCTTTCTTTAGCAGTGCAAAATCAATTTCATCAGGAATTGCAGAAGGATTTTAGAAAAATGCGTCAGACAATCGAATTACTTTGTATACTGGAACCGGTTAACGTAAATATAGCCATTGAAACCATTGCAATTGAACTTGAAGCTGCCATTTTCGATGTAAAATTTATCGCTAATTTCTGCATTTTATAATATTTCTTTATCAATTACTGACAAAAGCAACGTTGCCAATTCTGATTTTTGGAGAACCGGATAAAATTGTTCCATAAGGCACCTAACCAAATTTAATCAGTTGTTTTCTAGATTAGTTATAAACAGCGCATAAGATTTAACTAAAGAAATAATGCGAATTATTTCCATTTTAACCATAATTTCCCAATTAAGAATAATTGTAAAGTTGTGAGGGTCATAATGTGTAGCAGATGAGATTATTTAAAAAAACATGCTCGTCGAATTGGCTATACTCTTATTGCTAACTGTTATTAAAGAAATATAAGTTAATTTACAAACATAATGAGTAATCTGCCTTCGAAAATTCTACAGACTTCTCAAATCATGATTTTGATAATAACTAGCACAAAATGATTCGTATAAAATAAAATTATATATCGAAGAAAAAAAAAAAAAAAAGTTGCAGGAATGGAAACATATAGACTTAAATGATCTAGTACGAATACTGACATTACCGAAATATTGGGAATTGGAAGAATTGAAAATTGCAGCGCGATCTGTGATCATCGACCTTCATAGCAAACAGTTTCAGTAAGAATCCTTGCATATGTAAATTCTACTGTGCTAAAATTATTGGGAATTTATCCTCACTTGTATGCATTAGAAAGAAAAATGCATTCATTTTGTAAGCATAATTTGGAGATCGGTTAAGAAACCTGCATGGTAAGAAGAAGAAAAACGTCCAGGAAATTCAACTCAAGACTACTGCCACTTTCTCCTTGTTACTTATTCTGCAAAGAAGCTCCGTTCTTCCGTGATTAGAAACTGTCACAATTAAGTATCCTTTATATCAAAAAAGCATAATTATCTTGCTTAACCTTGTATTTCAATATGATTCGGCTAATAATATCATCCACCAGTACAAGTCTTACAACGGAATTCATAAATACAGTTATTGCACCTTTAATCCTCCAAAGTTTTACTGCAAAATTAAAACAGGACATGCTAGCTAAGGAATTATTTAATTAAAATATAAGCAATTATTTATGAAAAACTTCAAAATAAAATGTTTTTACAATAAAAATGTTTTGCAAATGTTTTACAAAATTCTTGTTTTACAAATTGAACAGAATAAGAATAATTTTTACAGGGAAGAGTACAATGAGCACTCAACAGGTGTACGATGTGCAGTATACCGGGATCTTATATTATGCGGCACGCTGGATGAAATATGTAAGCCAGTAGAAAGTGAACTTGAAAAGATCAAAAAAATGGGTTGGAAAATGAGTATAGTGAAGAAAAGAGTGAGATTTGTAGAAGGATCATCCCAAAATAAGGCTGAACTGTATGGCTGAAAGAAAAAATAATAATTCAATAGAGAGACATCCTATCATCTCATGATCTCATGTTATTTCTATAATTATATTCATCAGAATATTGAATAGAGGAACACAAACGTAAAACATTTTTTCTACGGTTTTATCCCGGATAATACGCTTATCTTCTTGTGTTATTATCAGTGTACTTCCTGTTCACAACAAGCTCATCTCATCATCGAAATTTCAACATTAAACTAGAACTTATACTTTATATTAGGAACAAATTTAAGCCTTACGACACTGCATATTTTTCGATCAGATGCCTCGAGTTATTGTTCATCCAATCATCCTTACTATCATCAACTGACATTCAAATATCCGGAAAGCGGGAGGGATAATATGGTCACTTTCATCCAATATGCATTGCAGAAAACACAATACTGCTATAGAATATTATTTGTCAGGAGATTTTAGCAATACAATGACACAATAGCCATTCAATAGAAGACAAAATAAAAAGATAAGAATGCGAGAAAATATGACTTTATGAGAGTGAAATATTTATACATATAAAAGAGAAAATGATATGAAATTAAATATAAAAGGAATGAAGAGTATTCATTGAGAATTCATTAATAAGAGTGATTCTAGAGATATTTAACTCTTTCAAATAGTTCCCTTCATTCAACCTTAATTATAAACATCAAATAGACAACGATGGCTCAAAAGTAACTTAAATAACTTCATCTTTACAATCACAAAGTTCCCAGAATTATTAAATCAGGCATTGGTTATTATTTGCAACACTGTAAATAAAACACTAAAGAATAATTGAGAAAAGAAAGAAATGTTTGATTTATATAATATCAAAAAATTGATCGTTCTGGGGGAGAATCCAGCTATACTATAGTACAATGTATTATGTAAATTGTAAATTAACAACTTATTGTTGTAACAATAATAATAATGATAATAAATAATAACAATAATAGCTTCTTTGTTGCCTAAAAGGCATTTCAACATTAACTAATCAGCATTGCCTGTACGGATTTTTTTCATTCTGAGAGCCGTGTTTTATGTGGAGTCTTTCATGTTGGGGGGCGTTAGCAAGTGCGAGAAGTCCGGTAGCAATTGCCTTTGGCTGTTTTTTTCCGACTAGTTGTTTAGTGGCAGGAGATAGGAAGTAGTGGCAGTGCATACAATATGCCTCTGTTTGAGTAATGAGTCAGGTTAAATTCCGTCAGTGGTGTTGAAGTCTTACTGTATTTAGCAAAGTACAGTGGTTGGAAATAGAAGAAACCGCAGGTTGCAAAAACAGCGTTTTGTTTTACAATTAAAGGAGTTAAAGTTGAAAAGACATTTAGTAAATAATAAAATGAAACTGAGAAGCAAAACGATAGTGGTGTTACATTTTGGTTTACCCCTATGTTGCTAGTAGCTAAACAAATATACAGCCAAGTTCGTTGTGGAAAGTGCACAATATTAAATATAGTCAGTGGTTTTTATTTTGAAAGAAAAATAAGTTATAAGCAACGACCATATTCACAAAAAGAAGTAGTTTATCAGCACTGAAATAATATTTGAGAATATGTCGCTATGGTGCTAATAAATGTTGCAAATAATTGAGAATATGTCGCTATGGTGCTAATAAATGTTGCATTAGCTTTGCTAAACTGTTTGGTAGTATTGCCAAGCTGTTTCGATCCGGCGAAGCTTTGCTTAAATGGTGAAATGTGTGTAAAGCAAATCACGAATAAAGTTCATTTAACTTTGGTTAGCTTTTTCCTTTGCATTTACCCTAATTATTTTCAGTTAAGTTAATCAAGTAATTTAATAAGAAATAAATTTCATTCATTAATTCAGGAAATCACTACACCTTATTTTATAAAATCGTGTTAACTCTGAAACTTTTCTATATTTTATTGTATTGGGATTTGCATTCATCATGCTATTCTCTCATCCAAGATATTTTTTTCATGTTCATGTTAAAACATACTTCATATCCCAATTGATTTTTTAAATTTTGCGACTTACTTTTTTCTTGCGATCACTCTTATTTACATCGGTAATTTGATGCAGTACAACATGAAACATATTCAAAATTTATTTACCCCTTTTTTCTCTATCAAACATTGTGAAAATTGATTTCTTAAATATATTTGATTTAAATATATCTAAAATATGTGCAATATATTTGATTTCCTACATAAATTTGTCCAATATTTAAATTTAAATTTTATTTCAGTATTTTTTTTTTTTTTTTTTTATTTCAGTAAACGGAATATTTCAGTGTTCATGCTCAGTAGGTTATGGTGGTGAAAAATGCGAAATTCTTTACGTTTGGAAGGCATTTCCTCATTACCGCAATGTAAGTATGTGTTGTATAAATGTAAGTATAAATGGATCTGCTATATGCTCTATGGGATACTTCGGTCATAACTGTGAATATACTTTCGATAAGTTGGTTTATTCTTTTATTGTTGTTTATTGTCTTCAAAAAATTTTGATTTCACTGCTATCAAAACCCTCTTTTATTTAATCTACGCTATGAGGATACTTTTATTATTTAAACATGTCATTTTTGCTACTATGCTTCCATTTATTTCAAACATCTCATCATCCGTCTAATTTATCTTAGTTTGCATTTTTCTTGCAGTATGTTTTGAATTGCACCGTTTTATTTATCTTTATAGATGGAGTTAATTTGTAACTTTGAAATCAAATCAGTATTTAACTTTCTATAGTCTGCTTTTATTTTTTGAAAATAATTTATAGCGGTTGTTGATAGGTGTAAGCTTGGCAACATTTGCAGAAATGATGGTACTTGTATTGATGGTATTTGCTTTTGTACTGATGGTATGTCTGTCAATTATTTTCTTATTAATCATCACACTAAAATGTCATGCAGTCAGAAGCTTTGGCATAATTTGCAATTTGTAGTCCAGTTTTTTTTTTTTTTTTTTTCCTTTTTTAGGGTTTAGCGGCAAAATTTGTGAGAAAGAGATGACTATTTACGAAATGGATGTAAGAACATCCGGAATTTTGTGCACTGCGTTTTGCTGATGGAATGTAATAATGAAAAGTTTTTTTGATAGTTTCGATTGTGTTGTGAGTATTCAAAAGTATAGGTAAGCAGTACTGTAATTTCTTCTTGGTCGTAAACAGATTTGGTTGCATGGTATCGCAGAATCAAATTTAATCAAGTCTTAATTTTTCCCAACTAACACTTTTTTTTTAAAAAAAAAAAAGGAAATTTATCATTTCATCTAGACTTTCTAATTACTATGTTTGCATTATTTGGGTGGGTAATGTGATGAAAAATGTGCAGTAGCGGAATGCAGATATGATCGTATAGATTGTGATAGAAATATACTTCTTCGTAATCTAACGGATAGCAGTACCACTGGCATCGTTTTCAAAGGACCCCCACTTAATGTTCTCGACAAAACATATTCAACTTCTTGCAAAACTTGCATAGATAGGTTGCTAAGATTTTTTATGCATTATGAAAATTGTGAATTATTCATAACATATATTATGAATAAGATCATAGGTGCATTAATACAAAATATCTAATATAGAGAATAGTAAAAATTTCCTATTTCAATTTCTAAATGATTCAACAAAAAATTAAATAGTAGTCCAAATTTTCAAAAAATACATAATCCAGTACATTTGGCCTTAGATAGCAACAATAAAGCTTGGATTTATGAGTGGTCATTTGAAAATGGAGTTGGGAAAGAGATCAATTTAGGAGAATTGGGAAGTGTCAAGATAAAGTACTTATTTTCATTTAAATAATTTTTTACGTTCAACCGGATCTTCACGCTTTCCTCCTGTATGTTCCACAGAATTTTGAGTAAATAAAATTTAGTGTTTGCATTAATCTAAAAAAGATTTGTAATGAATATGTAGTGCCTTTAATAATGTTCCGTGCATTTAATGTTCCTTATCCAAGGCTTTCCAGTTGTTAGCCGGGCCATAAATTATTATGTGTTTTATGAGAATATTTTTAATATGTCTTGCGGTTATTAATGATACTGGTCGTTATTCGTCCATCTTTACAAGAGTTCGACTAACTAATTATTTTTAATTTAGTAATAATGCGAAAACTTATAAGGCCAGGTTCATCTTAACTTGAAAAATTTTCAGGAATGCAACAGTTGTTTTATATTAGGTGGATATTGATTCGAAATTTTGTGAATAGTGTCTCCATTTGAACACGACAAATGTTTTAACTGTTTCACTGACTTTTTTGGTGCAGTCGCCTATCTTCATACTGCCTTGTATGATGAGGTTGTTCTTCATACAATCTGATCTTTAATATCTGATTTTCAACTTTTGTGTTTTCTCACATACTTCATCTCACTAATTCTATTCCATTGAGTTTTTTCCACTTGAATTTGAAGCAATATTGCCAAATTTTAATTCTAGTCAAGAATCGAATAAGCTTGGGTGACATCACTGTTGAAGGATTTTTCGTAGAAAGTGATAGAAGTCGCTCTCTTCCAGTTTTTGCCTCTTCATTACGTGTTTTGTCTTCATTGTAATAGGATATATGGATTTTTCGGTGTGCTGAAGAAACAGAATATTGGGAAAAATCATACTTCTGTTTGGAAAGCACCGTGTCAACCTAGCTATTTTAAACTCAGATTCTGACTACTTTTAGTCTTTTCAAACAACATAGAAGCATTTGGATGGATTGGTTTCAAAAGTAATAACACATTTATGAAAATCGTTTTAAATGAAGCATTCCATGAGACATTATTATAAATAGTCACTGTTATAATAATGCTCAAGTTATTGGTTTATGTAAACGAACTGATTAACAGCAGTAAAGAAAACCAAAAACTAAAATTGACACAAGAAAGAAGCAAATATAATATAATTTTAATGGTAGGTTACAATGAGAAGATCACTCTATAGCAAAAATTGATGTACACAGTATAGACACACACAGTAACACTGTTAATAAATTGAGGAAATAAGACTAAATAATGAGCACACAGTTTAAATAGTATGTACAGGAAAAAAGAATATTTTAACCTTTATTTGAGACGATTCCTTTTATATAATTGTTTCCTGCTTAATTTATATTCTTATCACGTTTCTCGCATTGTACTATCAGTAGAATTGGTTGAGCTGGCTATTCTTTCCCTATTTCTTCTTGATCCTTGAATTGTCGTTGAGTATCGTAACTGTCGTTTTGCTTGTCGTTGTTTATTGCCAGATTATTATAGTTGCCGTTGCATTTCTCTACCCGTTAAATTTCCTCGTCATTTTTCGTAATTCACATCGTTTAATATTCAGCTTGGATAAGTAAACTTTCATTGTTGTTGTGGATAATTTTTCACACTTCAAACTTGGGCAATTAAACCGCCGATGTTGTCTTATTGGTGTCCTAAGAACTAATTCCTCTTATCTGTCCTCCTATTCGTTTTCTTCTAACGCAACTTAAGCACGCCCTAACATCACTATTCTTTAACTCGTCGACCCCATATAATGATCCATATCAAGAAATTGCTCCGCTTATATCGCTGAGAACCCTTCTTTGTTCAGGTCTAATATCTACATCGTATCAATTATCTCATTGTGCTTTTTCCTTCGCTTCGTTGCTTGTAAGGATGACTCCGTTGTTAGCGACCTCGTTTGTTCTTTATTAACTATAATATCTTATATACATATATATACAATCCTTATTCTTTAGTTACCGTAATAGTACCTTCGGCCTATTTGCAGACATTCCGGACCTGGGACGTGATTTCTTGTTGTGGAATGATATTGATCCATCATCTAGCGTCGTGATTTTTTCTGACATTTTCATATCCTGTTCATCTTTCGTGCTTCCTTCGTTCTCATCTTCTTCGGGCATTTCCGTTTCATTCGTGTCTTGCAGAGGATAATAAATTTATGGGTCGTATAGCTGTATTTTCGTTTGGAAGTTTAAATTCAACAGCTCTTACTTTTTTGTCTCTTTCCCCTTTTAAGCTTATTATTTTTGTTAGTTTCCAAATTCCTCGTAGAATTCCTGATTCATCTAATAATGCAACTTTTTTTATCCGTGTTTTTTTTTTTTTTTTTTTTTTTATATGTGGGGATTCTCTTAAATCGGTAGCATTTGACGTTGTGTGTTTTCCACTGGTTTTTAATATATAGCCATAAAAGCCATAAATAGCCATAAAATAGCCATAAAAATCTGGTGCAATTTTTATTAAAAATCTGATGCAGTTTCTATCAGTCGGTTTTAATTCCGGCTGTAAAAAACGCCTATAGTGTTATTGTAATATGTTGTTTAAACTTTTGTCATTTCTCAAATGAGCCGAAATGTCGCAAACTACTCTATATACTACTCTAAGTTTCGTTTTTCTTTGTTAAGTGTAAGAATCTCATGATATGGAAGATAATGTATTATACCTTCTTGATCCATCTCTGGGGTAACTTCTTCAATCATATCACACGCTAGTTGTTCTCGAATAGTGCTTTGAAGTAACTTTGGTTCATCTCGTAGTCTTGCTATAAGTGATCTAAGTTTTCTTAAACATAACCCATAATGACTTTTAAGATTTATCTTTGTTTCTTTTCAAGGCCAACTAAGTGGAGACGAAATTTATTCGTTTGGCTTTACTTGGTTTTATGAAATTGAAAAAGTAGTTAGCTCTGATAAGTAAGTCCGATTTTTTCCACTCACTATGGAGCTCATTTAGTTGTTCAAGATTCTGATCAGAAAGATTTGTTACTTGCAGATTGTTGGTAAGATGATCAATTGTACTGACTTCCATCTGAATCATTTCCTTGTTGCTTAATCTGATTCTCACTACCTCTTCATTGTTTGAAATTCCAAATCCTTCTATATGAAGATTTTCATTTTTTCCTTTAATTTGCAATTGGTTTGCTAAGTTTTCCGACATGAATGACAACTGTGATCTTGTGTCGAAAAATGCCAGTATTTTAGCTTTCATTCCAAATTTTTGTCGATTTACTATTGTTACTTTTCGACAAAGCAGTAGGACGTTGTATTTCGTTTGTATATTTCGATCTGCTACAGCTTGATCGTTTTTACTTCTTCTTCTCTTTGATTTATATTTGTAACCGCCTTTGATTTGTTTTGTTGTGAAAAAAAAAGAAAAAAAAAAAGTGGCACAAAGAGGTGATTTTGCTTACAACTGAAACAACTCTTTTGATTTGTCTTACAAGTTTCTTGTGTTATACCTCACTTTTAAAAAATTTCTACAGGCTTTTAGAGCGTTTAATCTTACAAGGCGTCTCAGTGATCTCGATTGAAAAATGCACAAGGTCTTGCCTTTTTTATTTGTGATTTCCTTTTCAAATTGTATTGCTGATGTTCCTTTTGGTTGATTGAATTGAATTCTTCTGTTGCACGTTGTTTTTTTCATTGTCTGGTTTCCTAGTCCGTAAATTTGGTTAATCGTTTCTTGATGTACCGCTGCTTCAAATCCACTCCAGAATTCTCTTCATTGCTTCGGATCTCATCAAAATTTTTAAAGGTAAGACGTGGTAATTTAATTGTTAGTGGACGTCTTACTTCTGTTGATCCTTGCTCTTGTTGACTTAGTATTCTATCCGATTCAGAATTATTTCGCGCCATTCGTTCCATTGTTTGTTGTAGACAGTGCATCGTTGCTTGAATATTATTAATATGTAGCTTAAGTGATATTAATGTTTCCCAGCCATCTTCAATTAATTTCAGAATTCCTTGATCGCCTTTAACCATTGTCGCATTCTTCTTCTTGTAGGTTTAGCTGTTACCTTTTGTATGAATTCCAGCCATTTTTATTATTTCTTTCGAGTGTCGTTATTTGCTTCTCTTTAAATTTTCTTTCTTGTTCTTTACATTGCTCGTATTGGTTTTCAATCGGCAGATTAACGTTCATTTGGATAACTTTCAATTGTTTAATCTCATTGAGCGCCTTTTTTAATATATCTTTCATGGAGTTGGCACTTATTACTATGCTCGATGACATTTCTTTTTTCTTTTTGTCTTCTGTCTTCTAATGATATTGTTATATCTGTAGAGAAATGATGTGAGTTAATGAATTAATCAAAATGTCTTCTAGTGATATTGTTATATCTGTAGTGAAATGGTATGGGTTATTGAAGTAATCAATATGTTTTCTAGTGATCTTGTTATATTGGTAGAGAAATGGTATGAGTTAATGAAGTAATCAAAATGTCTTCTAGTGATATTGTTATATCTGTAGAGAAATGGTATGGGTTATTGATGTAATCAGTATGTTTTCTAGTGATCTTGTTATATTGGTAGAGAAATGGTATGAGTTGATGAAGTAATCAAAATGTCTTCAAATGATATTGTTGCATTTGCAGAGAAGTGGCATAAAAAAATCGATATGTCTTCTAATGATATTGTTATATCTGTGGAGAAATGGTTTGAGTTAATGGATTAATCAAATTGTTTTAGTGATATGTTATATTGTAGAGAAATGGTATGAGTTATTGAAGTAATCAAAATGTCTTCTAATGATATTGTTGGATTTGCAGAGAAGTGGCATAAAAAAATCGATATGTCTTCTAATGATATTGTTATATCTGTGGAGAAATGGTTTGAGTTAATGGATTAATCAAATTGTTTTACTGTTAAATTATTACATCTGTAGAGAAATGGTATGAGTTATTGATGTAATCAAAATGCCTTCTAGTGATATTGTTATATCTGCAGAGAAATGGTATGAGTTAATGAAGTAATCAAAATGTCTTCCAATTATATTGTTATATCTGTAGAGAAATGATGTGAGTTAATGAAGTAATCAAAATGTCTTCAAATGATATTGTTGCATTTGCAGAAAAGTGGCATGAAATAATCGAAATGTCTTCTAATGATATTGTAATATCTGTGGAGAAATGGTATGAGTTAATGGACTAATCAAATTGTTTTCTAGTTATATTGTTACATCTGTAGAGAAATGATGTGAGTTAATGAATTAATCAAAACATCTTCTAGCCTATATTGTTATATCTGTAGAGAAATGATGTGAGTTAATGAATTAATCAAAATGTCTTCCAATTATATTGTTATATCTGTAGAGAAATGATGTGAGTTAATGAATTAATCAAAATGTCTTCTATTGATATTGTTATATCTGTAGAGAAATGATGTGAGTTAATGAAGTAATCAAAATGTCTTCAAATGATATTGTTGCATTTGCAGAGAAGTGGCATGAAATAATCAAAATGTCATCTAGCGATATTGTTATATCTGTAGAGAAATGATGTGAGTTAATGAATTAATCAAATTGTTTTTCAGTTAAATTATTACATCTGTAGAGAAATGATGTGAGTTAATGAAGTAATCAAAATGCCTTCTAGTGATATTGTTATATCTGTAGGGAAATGATGTGAGTTAATGAATTAATCAAAATGTCATCAAATGATATTGTTGCATTTGCAGAGAAGTGGCATGAATTAATCAAAATGTCTTCTAATGATATTGTTGTATTTGCAGAGAAGTGGCATAAAAAAATCGAAAAATTAATCAGAATATCTTCCAGTGATATTGTTATATCTGCAGAGAAATGGCATGAGTCAATGAATTAATCAAAATGCCTTCTAATGATATTGTTATATCTGCAGAGAAATGATGTGAGTTAATGAAGTAATCAAAATGTCTTCAAATGATATTGTTGCATTTGCAGAGAAGTGGCATGAAATTATCAAAATGTCATCTAGCGATATTGTTATATTTGAAGAGAAATGATGTCAGTTAATGAATTAATCAAAATGCCTTCTAGTGATATTGTTATATCTGCGGAGAAATGGTATGTTAATGAATTAATCATAATATCTTCTAGTGATATTGTTATATCTATAGGGAAATGATGTGACTTAATGAAGTAATCAAAATGTCTTCTAGTGATATTGTTATATCTGTAGAGAAATGATGTGAGTTATTGATGTGATCAGTATGTTTTCTAGTGATCTTGTTATATTGGTAGAGAAATGGTATGAGTTAATGAAGTAATCAATACGTCTTCTAGTGATAATGTTATATCTGCGGAGAAATGGTATGAGTTAATGAATTAAAATGTTTCTAGTGATATTGTTATATCTGTAGAGAAATGATGTGAGTTAATGAAGTAATCAAAATGTCATCTAGATATTGTTATATCTGAGAGAAATGATGTGAGTTAATGAATTAATCAAATGTCTTCAGTGATATTGTTATATCTGTAGAGAAATGATGTGAGTTAATGAATTAATCAAAATGCCTTCTAATGATATTGTTATATCTGTAGAGAAATGATGTGAGTTAATGAATTAATCAAAATGTCTTCTAATGATATTGTTATATCTGTAGAGAAATGATGTATTGATCAAAATGTCATCTAGCGATATTGTTATATCTGTAGAGAAATGATGTGAGTTAATGAAGTAATCAAATGCCTTCTAGTGATATTGTTATATCTGCAGAGAAATGGTATGTTAATGAATTAATCAAAATATCTTCTAGTGATATTGTTATATCTGTAGAGAAATGATGTGAGTTAATGAAGTAATCAAAATGTCTTCTAGTGATATTGTTATATCTGTAGAGAAATGGTATGGGTTATTGATGTAATCAGTATGTTTTCTAGTGATCTTGTTATATTGGTAGAGAAATGGTATGAGTTAATGAAGTAATCAAAATGTCTTCTAGTGATATTGTTATATCTGTGGAGAAATGGTATGAGTTAATGGATTAATCAAATTGTTTTCTAGTTATATTGTTACATCTGTAGAGAAATGAAGTGAGTTAATGAATTAATCAAAATGTCATCTAACGATATTGTTATATCTGAAGAGAAATGATGTGAGTTAATGAATTAATCAAATTGTTTTCTAGTTATATTGTTACATCTGTAGAGAAATGAAGTGAGTTAATGAATTAATCAAAACATCTTCTAGCTTATATTGTTATATCTGTAGAGAAATGATGTGAGTTAATGAATTAATTAAAATGTCTTCTAATTATATTGTTATATCTGTAGAGAAATGATGTGAGTTAATGAAGTTATCAAAATGCCTTCTATAGGGAAATGATGTGAGTTAATGAAATAATCAAAATGTCTTCTAATAATATTGTTGCATTTGCAGAGAAGTGGCATGAAATAATCAAAATGTCTTCTAATGATATTGTTATATCTGTAGAGAAATGATGTGAGTTAATGAAATAATCAAAATATCTTCTAATGATATTGTTAAATCTGTAGAGAAATGGTATGAGTTAATGAATTAATCAAAATATCTTCTATTGATATTGTTATATCTGTAAAGAAATGATATGAGTTAATGAAATAATCAAAATATCTTCTAATGATATTGTTAAATCTGTAGAGAAATGGTAAGGGTTAATGAATTAATCAAAATGTCATCTAATTATATTGTTATATCTGTAGAGAAATGATGTGAGTTTATGAAGTAATCAAAATGCCTTCTAATGATATTGTTGTATTTGCAGGGAAGTGGCATAAAAAAATCGAAATGTCTTCTAATGATATTGTTATATCTGTGGAGAAATGGTATGAGTTAATGGATTAATCAAATTGTTTTCCTGTTAAATTATTACATCTGTAGAGAAATGATGTGAGTTAATGAAGTAATGAAAATGCCTTCTAATAATATTGTTGCATTTGCAGAGAAATGGCATGAAATTATCAAAATGTCTTGTAATGATGTTGTTATGTCTGTAGAGAAATGGTATGAATTAATGAATTAATCAAAATATCTTCTATTGATATTGTTAAAATGTTAGAATAATGATGTGAGTTAATGAATTAATCGAAATGTCTTCTAATGATATTGTTATATCTATAGGGAAATGATGTGACTTAATGAAGTAATCAAAATGCCTTCTAATGATATTGTTGTATTTGCAGAGAAGTGGCATGAAGTAATCAAAATGTCTTCTATTGATATTGTTATATCTGTAGAGAATCGGTATGAGATAATGAAGTAATCAAAATGTCTTCTAGTGATCTTGTTATATTGGTAGAGAAATGGTATGAGTTAATGAAGTAATCAAAATGTCTTCAAATGATATTGTTGCATTTGCAGAGATGTGGCATGAAGTAATCAAAATGTCTTCTAGTGATCTTGTTATATTGGTAGAGAAATGGTATGAGTTAATGAAATAATCAAAATGCCTTCTAATGATATTGTTATATCTGTAGAGAAATGGTATGAGTTAATGAAATAATCAAAATGCCTTCTAATGATATTGTTATATCTATAGGGAAATGATGTGACTTTATGATTTAATCAAAATGTCTTCTAATGATATTGTTATATCTGTAGAGAAATGATGTGAGTTAATGAAGTAATCAAAATGTCTTCAAATGATATTGTTGCATTTGCAGAGAAATGGTATGAGTTAATGAATTAATCAAAACATCATCTAGCGATATTGTTATAACTGTAGAGAAATGATGTGAGTTAATGAAATAATCAAAATGCCTTCTAATAATATTGTTGCATTTGCAGAGAAGTGGCATGAAATAATCAAAATGTCATCTATTGATATTGTTATATCTGTAAAGAAATGATATGAGTTAATGAATTAATCAAAATGTCATCAAATGATATTGTTGCATTTGCAGAGAAGTGGCATGAAATAATCAAAATGTCATCTAGCGATATTGTTATATCTGCAGAGAAATGATGTGAGTTAATGAATTAATCAAAATGTCTTCTAATGATATTGTTATATCTGTAGAGAAATGA